GTTCCACAAAAGAACATCAGGAAGTCCATAGACCAAATACCGAGTCAAAAGGATCACGGGGAACAAATCCCCAAACAACACCAACTTGTGTACCCGCGGGTGAGCCCACGGGTGGTGCCCCTCCCATGGTTCTGCCCGTGGGAACACTCTCCCACAAGCCTTGTACTTGCGGGTGGGGCGACGGGTGGTGCCCCGACCGCCGTTCCGCCCGCGGGTACATGTCTTGTACCACAAAACCAACTTTGCGGATTTTCATCTCCAAACTCAAATTCAAGTCCAAAACATGCCAAATCTCACCAAACACAACAAAATGACTTGAATCAAAGGAAATGCCAAGCAATGGCACACAAGAACCCTAAATACAAGCTCTAGATATGCATTTTCACAAGACAATGCATAAACACTCACATTTCATAGCAAAACACATGTAGAATCCAAGAAATATTCACATAGGTAAGCAAAATAGATTTTGTAGAGCATGGGTTACCTCTTGTAGACTAAAGACTTCACTTTACACCTCAACAAGCTCCTCACAAGGCTCACCTTCCAACCCCACTTCAAGAACACACCAAAAGATCATAAAGATCCTATCTTTAAGAAAAGACACATTAGATAAAACCAAAAACACAAGATGAACTTAGATCTTACCCTCCTAGATGCCCAAATATAAGATAGGTTGAATCTTGGAAGCAACTCTTGAAGTTTTGCAAGGTTCCAACTTGGCTTGGAAGAAAAGCTACTCACCTTTTAGAGAGAGGGTGGAGCTAGATTTTTTAGAAAAGTGTAAAGAGAGAATGAAAGTGGTCTTACTAGGTTAGGTTACATTACCAACAACAAGTGAAAGGTCAAGAATACCCTTACTAACATAAGGAGGTGTAAGGAACAAGGGAACTCCTTACAAAGCTCAAGGTACAACTTTGACTTTGGGGTTGACTAGTCAATTACTAGTCACCAACTATTAAATTTCAGGAATTTAAGGAATTAAATTACAAATTGAAATAGGATTAATTACTCAATTAATCCCTTAATTGGATTTAGATTTCGGGGTGTCACATCCTCTCCCCCTTCAAAGAAGCTTCGTCCCCGAAGCTTGGGTACGATGAATTAAAGGCAAACGGTGAAAAGAAACAACATTGTGACAAGAGGTTCAAGAACAAACTCTTTTGGTCAAAGACTCCAAAAGATTTCACAAGATTCCAAGGTAAAGAAGTATTCCAAGACAAGAAAGAAAGTATTTCAATTCAAAGATTGGCATGAGTTTAGATTGAGCATCAAGAACTCTAGCCTCAACACAAACACCGACCTCTAGACAACAACCAAGAACTAGACAACTAACCCCAACTACTAAGGTAACTAAACAACAAGGCAACAAGCAACAAACAAGCACACAAGGCAAGCAACAAACTACTACCAAACTAACAACGGCTAAGAAGGAGGCAACAATAAGGAAAAGGCGAACGGGATTACCACAACACAAGCTAGAACTCCTCACTCTCCGACTCCTCAGCCTCCTCAGACTCCTCTTCGTCTCTGCGGCTCGAACTGGCTTCAATCTGATCTAGCCTCTGATTCACTGCGACGAACTGCGCCTTCATAAACGCGAAGCCTTCTGCGATCATACTGTTCTGTTGGCGAAGCAAGGTGACAACGCGCTCCTCATGTGCCATGGCATCATGCTCCCTCTTCGTGCGAGCTTCTTTCCTTCTCCGATTTTCCTCACTATCCGAATCACTTTCTTCGACTTTAGCGGCTTCCGGTGCATCCACTTCTTCTTTTTGGCCTCCTTCTTCCCCAACTTCTTCGTCACCGCCCAAACTCTGGACTGCGAGGCTCAAATTCCCGGCATGGATCCCAAGCTCTGTTGCCAACTCTGCCCTCTCTTCAGGTGCTTTCCTTGTCACTTCTTCAAGCGTGATGTAGTCACCATCTTCCAACTGAAACAAATTACAACTCCGAAGATTGGTGGCATCCAACACCATCTTTCCCAGGGCTTTCGGGAGACACCCATCCACGCTTACACCCTTTCTAACCAAAATCCAGCTCAACACCATCCCATACGGTAGGCTTTTCCTGTTATGATTCCGACAGAAAACCATATGCTGTAACATCAGAGCTGGCAAGTTGAACTTAACCATGTTCTTGAGGCAAAAGGCAAAGGTGCACTCCAACTTACCCAACAAACTGCTTTTGTTGTTATTAGGCAACAAACAATCTGACACAAACATAACCAAAATCTGTTGCTCCGCGGACAACCACTTTTTCTCCGGCCTTGAAGCTTGAGTGAAACCACTCGTGCGGCCCAACAGATAACTTAAATAGTCCCGGTATCCCATGGTATCCGTACTAATCCAAGAATGACCACTATACTGAGCAACTCCTGAAGCAGATAAGCTCAAAAGCTGAGCCAGCCTCTTCTCAAAAAGCACAACCTTCACACCTCTCACTTTAGAAGTGATCTCAATATCACCCTCCTTTGTCACAACCATGTGACGATAAAATTCCTTAACCAAACTTGGGTAAGTCTCGGCCCTTATGGCGAGAAACCCATCCAACAAACCTTGAAATCTAAGCATATCCAACAAGGAATTAGGAAAAGATTCCGGATCAAAAGCTTTACCTTCAAGAACGAGGTAATGGGCATCCACCCATTCCGCTTTTCTAGCTAAGCTTGACCTTCTAGGCATGGCTGATGATGACCCAAAGCTCAACAAACAAAGCCCACAACACTACCTAGGCGGCCAAATCGGCCAAGTTAGACGCTAGGCGGACGCCTAGGCGGCCGGTAACCTAGATGGGTGCCTAGGAGGGAAATCGCCACGTCTAGAGGCGCCTAGCGCCTAGACCGATTTTTACAACCCTGAATTACTAACACATTTCCTTTAAAAAAATAATTAGTATAACCTTAACCAAAAAAAAAAAAAAAAAGAAGAAAGAAATAAATATCAAATCGAAATGAATTTGTAAGTGTACAAAATTATAAGCACAATGTACAAGTTAATGATGCAACTTATTATACTAACACATTTCCTTTTATTTCTAATGATAAAAAACTTTCTAATTTTGGTCTTTGTATATTTTTTTGTTAAGAAATATTTATTTAATCTATATTCTATTCAATGGTAACTCCTTGGCCGAAAAAAATATGCTAATTTGATTACTCCACGTTTTATACTAGCAACGTACATGTCTCAAAGGACAAGAAAAGGAGTGACAAATTGTTTTAAATTGGAGTACAAAATCTGGATTACCAGTTTTATCTTCATTTTAACATTCACTTAATACCAAAACTAATGAATGACCATTTTAACTTAAAATTCAATAGTCAGAGGATCGCTTTGGGTGCAATTAAAAGTCAAAGAACCCTTGAGAAAAAGTCATAGTCGGAGGACCATTTTGATAATTATCTCATTATTTGATGTACATACTCAAATAATTAAATAAAAATGCATATAATATTATTAGCTCATTTTGTTATGTCAAATTTTCAATATGACAATATCTACAACATTCACGTCAACTTAGCCAGAAGAAATAACTATTCATGGTTTGAAACTTTATCTTATCATCCATAATGAAATTCCTAAACTAGCTCCACCACCATTTATGGTGGACGTAGAAAGAAAGAGTAAAGGTAAATAAAAAAAAAATAGAGGGAAGCCATTGAGCTATTAACAGCCTTCCTATCTATATTTTAGAAAAAAATTTAATGAAATTTATGTTGACCTATATATTCAAGGATTAAAATAAAACTTTGAATTTGAACTACAACTTAGAAGTGAGGAAGAGACTGCAAGAAGAAGAAACCCCACTCTCAACACACATCTTATTAATAAATTATCAAGTAAGGGGTATCACATTTTTATAATGATAGATACATGCATTTTTTAGCCAATTAATCATACTGAAATTTCTAGTCAGTCGTCAGATCATCATCAACGGACCATGGCCATTTTTCTTCTTGGAAATGTGAAGAACCTTCGCCATGACCACCTTTCTTTATTTAGAAATATGACCGGCTTTCTCAAATCTTCATCATATTGCCACATGTTGAATTTTGTATTTTTTTAGTTTATTTTCTTCTTCTAGTCTATAGCCCGCCGCCCGCCAGATACGGATATCTTGCACTCACCACCATGCCCATAGTGCTGCCAATGATGCCTTTAAATACAGGGGCCATCGCTCTTCACCTATTCCACCCAAGAACTAACTGATATTACACTCTGAATTCCACAATCCTTTCAAGATCTATCGTTTCCCCAGCTGCTATGGAGAACAACGGCGTTTACTACTCCCAAAATCTACCCACTGTGATGGTGACCAACGACGACGGAGTGGATGCTCCTGGGTTGAGAGCTCTGGTTAGCGTCCTCGTCTCCACTAATCGCTTCAACGTCTTCGTTTGCGCTCCCGATTCCGAGAAATCGGCGGTTAGTCACAGCATAACTTGGCGTCACGCAATTCGGGCCAAAAGAGTTCACGACATCGCCGGAGCCACTGCGTTTGCAGTTGCCGGAACTCCGGCAGATTGTGCCTCCCTGGGCATCTCAAAAGCTCTGTTTTCTTCAGTGCCCGATTTAGTGATAAGCGGTATTAATATGGGCAGCAACTGTGGCTATCACATTGTCTACTCTGGAACAGTTGCTGGTGCTCGAGAGGCTTTCGTCAATGGCGTCCCCTCTATCTCTCTATCATATGACTGGGTTCATGGAAAGAGCAATCTTCATGACTTCACACTAGCTGCTCAGGCTTTCATACCCATCATTACTGCTATATTGGGTGATATCAAGAATCAAACTTATCCCCTTAATTGTTTTCTCAATATTACTGTGCCAACTGATGTTGTGAACCACAAGGGTTATCGCCTCACTAAGCAAGGCAAAAGTTTCATCAGAACCGGATGGAAGCAAGTTACTTGTGAAGCAGAAGGAGGGAAGATGTTATCAACTATGACTATGGACATGACTCCAACACAAACTGCACAACAAAGTGTTGTTAGCAGTCAGGAGGATCAGTTTCTATTCACTAGAGAAGTGAGATCACTTTCCCTTAATTAGCTTTCTACCTGCAGCATCTTGTGTTTTCATAACATACCCTCTAAATATTTCTTTTCATTCTAACAGGTTAGAGCAAAGCAAGTAGATCAAGGTGGAACTGATTATTCTTCTCTTCAAGAAGGATATGTAAGTAATGTTTGTTTATTTGATATATATGCATGCTGTTTAATTTATTGGAGTCTTACCATTAACATATCACTTTTTTTTATTACAGATAACTGTCACTCCGATTAGTGCTTTGTTCAATGCCGATATAGATGGCGTTACATTCTTCAACAAATGGCTGTCTTCTTTGGATGACCGCTCAAATTTTGCTTGTACACTTCAAGCTTCCCTAGAAAATGAAGGGGAGACACATCATTTGGATTCTAGTACTACTTCAGGATTGTTGTGCTAATTTCACAATGGTAACAAACTCTTGTCTTTTATTACGCTAAGAAAATTATTCAATTCTCTAATATATACTTTTATATCAATGGATTCATGCATTTAATTAGTTGAAACGCGTTAATATGTTAGTTTCTAATTGTATTGTTCTTGGTGATACTTAAGTTTGGAGAATGTTGTAATTTCATTTTGTTGGAAAGATGTAATTATGTTTTGTGGTAAAATAATGAGAAGAGTAATGTAAAGTATTATACTCCCTCCAGGTCGATATGGATTTCTTGATCATATATTCTTTCAATATTACCATATATCTCTCAAATGGTTACATGGACTTCATAAATAATGAACCACACATCTTAATTTCTCTCACCACGTGAACAATCAAGTGTACCGTAAAAAATAAAATAAAAAATAAAAACATTTCAAATTGGCATAAAGTAACAACCACATTAGCCTTCAAATTATCTAACACTTCGACTAGATCAACAACTTTACTACAAATGGCATTGAAAAAGAAACAAAGTTTTGTTATGACTTGTCTAACCTGTTTCAGTAAGATATCCCGAATATCAACATGTAACATACATATGTTGTATTAATACATGACAGTCATGAGACTTCATGCCAACAGGTAACATATCCTGAAGATCGCTAGGAGTGCACATCCAGGTCAAGGAAAAGTCATCGGTATAGTCAACAGTGTTTGGTGGATACATTGCGTGACCCTTCCATTGTATTTTCACGGAATATTATATTAGTGGAACCTCGATGGAGTTGAGGGGAAAAGTGGATTATTAGGCTATTGCCGAACAACTATAAAATTTTTGTCTCTCTCTCTTTTTACTTTTCAGCACTTTTCTTATAATTGCACAAGCCTAGTTGATTGAATCGATAACACAAACACTTTACACGCTTTTAGCTGACTGTTTTGCGCTCAACCAAAATCCGCTAACTTTCTCCAGTTGCCCGTTACTAGCAAATTTGCTGCTAGCATACTCTCGATTAAACTATTTTGCAAAAATTATTTTAAAATTTTATAAATCAATTTTTTAAAGAAAGCCTATTCAACCCTACCCCACCCCATCCCTTCTAAATGTTTTATCCTTAACCAACATTCCTTTATTGTCATAGCCAGCATATGGTATAAATGCATGACCATTCCGGTGCGACTTTCGACATGGGGGACATCGGAGATGAGCCTCCAATGCTAACGTTTCTTTTCGGTGATGTTGGACTCCTGCTATCAGGAGTTCCATTTTGGGATGCTGGACACCTATTATCAGTCGCTCGTTTCGAATGAAGGTCAACTTGAAGCATATGTAGCCTTTCTTGGGACGACAAGGGTCGTTTTGAGCCTCTGGACCATTCATTGAACAATTGACTAAGGTTCGAGAAATTTCATCCCTAATTAAGCTCCTTGTGCGACTCCTAGTCAACAATCCTTGTGTCTCCTGGCTAGCGTCAAGATCAATTATATTGTAGATGTACTCTCAGTACTAGCAACTTAGCCATAGGACTTCTTGAACACCGAGTTGCTTGATGCCATCCAACGGTTGGTAGAGCTAGAAGTAGGTTGATAGTGAAGACACGAGAGATAGAGTTGTCCCACACTGGGTGCCAAAATTTGTAAACACACAAAAAAAAATGAAAATTTGTATATATATGTGTATATTAAAATTCTCAAAATCAGGTTTACTGAAGTGCCTTCAGAATTCAAGTTGTGTGAACCTCAAAGAAGTGCTAAACGTAACTTCAAGATGAATGTCAAGAGAACTCTGCAAAGCTTCAATGTGTGATCTTTGAAATGAAATAGATGCTCTATTTATAGTGGGAAGAATGTGAAACTCCATCATAGGCAGCTTAACTGGTCATAGAGGTGAAGTTTTGAAAGTATGACCAGGGCTGGGCTAGGGCTCTTGTGTGCAGTGATGCTCCCCAACCTTTTCCTTTTGGAAAGCCATCCTCCCATGCTCCCCAACCTTTTAGAAAGTAAGAATATTGTCTAGTGATATGAATCTAGTCCAAGATTCAAATAAGATGAGTATTGTCCCAAGAATTGCTCTCAAAGTAAAGATAGAGATGGATCAAAATACCTTAAACCTCACGAGAAACCCTTTGTCTCGAATCCTCAAAGACTTGGAAGAATCCCATGTAGCTTCAAGTACCTTGATGTTGCAATCTTCAATCAACTAGAGTCGGATCTAGTTTCCTTCGATTCAAGAACGAGTCCACAAACCTAAATCTAAGGTTGAAGAAAGTAAGATTGATTCGAGTCCACGAATCAATTTGCTAGTCGAGTCCACGACTAGCCACTAATTGAGTCCACAATTAGCCATAAGGTTTCTTACACAAGTGTAAAGAAAAACTTAAGAATTTTATTGAATTAAAGCCTCCTCCAAACTGATATGGATGTGCCCTATTTATAGGTATAGGGCAGCATTGTAATCTAAATACAATAGGAAAAAGAGTCCTAAACCTAATCTAGAAAACAAGTAAATAGAGTTTTATTTAGAAAAGGATTTAAGGAATCCTTTCTAAATACAACTAGTGTTTTCTCTTTTATGCCAAACAATTTAAATTAATGATGACCAAAAATAATAGGGCTGATTTGGGCCTAATTTAATCACCAAAATCAGCACTTAAACAATTATAAAAAGCCTTGAAATCTTCTTCATCTTTGCAATTGGGCTTGAATTGGATTTCCACCATTTTTGAACATAACCAATAAAGAGTTGTCTTAATTGTTTGGACTTAGACCTTGTGATTGGCCCAACTGGTACTCTTAATGGATCTTCAGTAGTTTGGGTTGCATTATCTAGCCTCTGTGGTTCATGTTCCCCAACCTTTTGGAAAGTCATGCTCCCCAACCTTTTGGAAAGTAAGAATGTTGTCTAGCCTCTGTGGTTCATGTTCAGTTGAATTACCATGATTTACATCCCCCCAAATGCTTTGTCGGGCCAGGGTTGGGATTCAACCTTTTGGAAAGTAAGAATGTTGTCTAGCCTCTGTGGTTTATGTTCAGTTGAATTACCATGATTTACATCCTCGCATATGCTCTGTCGGGCTAGGGTTGGGATTCAACCTTTTGGAAAGTAAGAATGTTGTCTAGCCTCTGTGGTTCATGTTCAGTTGAATTACCATGATTTACATCCTCGCATATGCTCTGTCGGGCCAGGGTCGGGATTCAACCTTTTGGAAAGTAAGAATGTGAAATAACGAACCATGTCACAATTGAAGATAGTTCAAAAGTTTTATCAAAACAAGGTAAAACTATAACAGGAGCGGTGGTGAGTTTCTCTTTCAATGTAGCAAAAGCTTGTTCCTGTTTAGGCCCCCATTTGAAGATGATGTCTTTCTTAATCAACTCATGCATAGGGGCTGCTATGGAGCTGAAATCACGAACAAACTTTCTGTAGAAACCTGCCAGTCCAAGAAAACTACGCAAGTTAGATACATTAGTTGGCGTTGGCCAACTTGTGATAGCTTCAACCTTTTTTGAATCCATGGTCACACCTTCTATACTAACATGAAATCCTAAAAACTCAACACTCTCAGACATAAAAGAACACTTCTCAAGATTGACATACAACTGTGCAGCCCTAAGTTCAAGAAAAACTAATCGAAGGTGTTTCAAGTGTTTTTCTTGTGACTTGCTATAAATCAGAATATCATCAAAGTAAACAACAACAAAATTACCAATAAATTTCCTCAAAACATGGTTCATAAGCCTCATGAATGTGCTAGGGGCATTAGTTAAGCCAAAAGGCATGACTAACCACTCATATAAACCATGCTTTGTTTTAAAGGCTGTTTTCCACTCATCACCTTCTTTCATCCTGATTTGATGATATCCTCGTTTCAAATCCACCTTGCTAAAGTACTTAGCTCCATAAAGTTCATCAAGCATATCATCAAGTCGAGGAATAGGAAATCTATACTTAATAGTTATATTGTTGATTGCACGACAATCAACACACATTCTCCATGTACCGTCTTTTTTTGGGACAATGAGCACTGGAACGGCACACGGACTCAAGCTTTCTCGAATATGTCCAATTTCAAGAAGCTCTTCAACCTGTTTATGGATTTCCTTTGCTTCCACGGGATTGGTTTTGTAGGCTGGTCGGTTTGGCAAGGTAGATCCAGGGACAAAGTCGATTTGATGCTCAATCCCTCTAAGTGGTGGAAATCCTTTTGGCATCTCTTTAGGGAATAAATCTGAAAAATCAGCAAGCAATTCATCAATAGAGGCATTACGAAAACAAGATTCAGAGTGTAACACAAGAGAAGAATCAAGATCAGTGGTAAGCTTATGAATGAAAAGTAAGTTAAACGTGTCTCCCCTTCTTATTGCCTTCTTAATGTCATTTTTTGTTGCAAGAAGAGAGGGCTGATGTGGTGATTCCTTTGCTGGGTTTTGAGATGAAAATGGCGTGGAAAGGGATATTGGAGGAGGTGGAGGCTTTGATTTTGGATAAGGGGAATATGGCACTGATTTCGCCTCTTTTGATACCTTCCTTGATTTCAATAGTATTTCTTCCACCTGTTTAGGAGTCAAAGGAGACAAGACATATCTAACTCCATCCATGTGAAACACATAAGTGTTCATCATTCCATCAAAAGTGATTTTTCTATCAAATTGCCACGGTCTACCTAACAACACATGAGCAGCCTACATTGGGACAATATCACACAAAATTTCATCAGAGTAATTGTTAATAGATAAAGGAATTAGAGCCTGCTTTGTTACTCTAACTTCTCCTGCATCTGTTAACCATTGCAAACGATATGGATTAGGGTGATCAAGCAAAGGTAATTGAAGAAATTTAACCATAGCTGCACTAGCCACATTTGTGCAACTTCCAGAATCTATTATCACAGTACAAGCATTCCCTCTAATTGACCCTTTAGCATAAAATATATTTTCTCTTTGAGACTCATCTTCTTTTAAAGGATGAACATTCAAAACCTTCTTAACAACAAGAGTATGAACAGACTCACTATCAGCATATTCATAATCAAAATCTAAAGGTAAAGGTGGTTCTTCCTCAACATGCTCATTGGGGGTTTCCAAATGGTCACTAACCTCATCCTCAGACTCATATTCAAGACAAGAGGCAAATTTTTCACATTGTTTTGTTATCTTAACTACCCTCTTGTTAGGACAATCACGAGCCATATGACCTCTTCCATTACATCTATAACAAATCAATTCTCTATCACGTTGAGGCCTCACTGCCTCACTTACCTTTTCCTTACCTTTGTCTCGTGAATCATCTCTTGGAAGAGGGCGTTCATCACGCCTTTGAGG